ATGTCTACCAAAACTGTCAATTCGTTGCTGAAATATTATCAAGCCAAAAGAAGGAACATTAGAATTTCTATTTTAAATTAAAATAAATTATATAGGAGAAATAAATAGAGAATACAATCATGATTTTGGAACTAGGGGATTAACATGGACATAATGCACTTGTTCACATGACCACATTATCTCTTATTCATTCTACCTCCAATTTTCAGACTGTTTTCAAAACAATTTCATGTGTGTCGATCATAGTTCTATGTAGCTTGATGTCTCCTGGTAATTTAAACAATCTAAGCAACAATTTCTGAATTTTAGCGACAATCGTTCGCCTTTGCGGCTCTTTAATACTATTATGACGTGCAGTAACAAATTGAAATTTCAGAACTCATGATAAATTTTTTTAACAGTTGATTCCACTTGGTTGATTCTATTGTTCGGGTTATTTAGCAGAACGAGATAGAAATTGACATTCTTATGGCTAACGTTTTTGCGTTAGTAGTTGTTCATCGTCTCTATAGTGCTATTTAAACAATATTTGGAGACAAAAGACGGCATTTTTATGTAGCGTCAAAAGTCATCAAATAACAAAAACATGGCAGATAAAAAGATCCTCAGTACACGGTCTAATAATTTAAAGAACACTTAATTTGAACCCGGCCATATTCTCTCTCTCACTCGTTTGTCATTGCCTTCATTTTCCCTCGCTTACTTCATTCTTACCACGGAATATGTAATGTGTATGTGTAGGCCTCATTATGTTAATTAGGGTCAATGGTCAAATTGTCTCAATATATCTTCCATACATCCATAATTATCAAGGCTAAACAGTAGAAACTTGACATATGGATAGATCATAATGGGAGAAGCATTTTATATAACCATATGACATCGTGAAAATGCATTCTTCATTATGTAAATCATTAGCATACGTATCACCTAATTCGTCAAAGTGACGAATTAAAGTCTAGTTATTTATTATTATTCTTATACTCGAATTTGTTCGCAGGATATCTCAAGACTGAATAAAGCCATTGTTATGAATCTTTCAATGATGATAGATCTTAGTCTAACTTAGAACTGCGTGACTTTTCAAAGACTCAAAGTCATCGTGACGTCATCCAGGCGCCATTTTGTAAAAATCAACTAATGATCATATCTTCATAACGGAAAAGTATTTCTCATTCATAATTATCACGATTAAGATCAATATCCGTCCGGTCAATTTCAGGTCAAAAAACGTGCGCAAATGCGCGCATGCGCAAAAATTAAAAATGCTCTAAATCATCCCAAATTTTTTTTGCATACGTTTCAGGCCATATAGAGCATTTGATAAAAAAATCGCGCTCACGCGCATGCGCGCGCGTTTTTTGCGCGTACTACTAGCATTTTGCAACATAGAATCGCCGAATTTTCTCTGTAATCATATTTGGCACATTTTTCCAAGCATTTTGATGATTTGTTCACCTTTTATTAACGCAATGAGCGTCCGTCAAAGTTGACAGCACGCGCGGATTTGCGTTATCTTTATCCACAATACATGGGCAAAAACATGCCTATATAAAATTCATTGTAACTCTTTAGAATAGATAAAAACTCCTAATATTTTTTCATATTTGGATAGATTATGAAATGGAGATATGATTTCATTTTCAAATAAGGTTTTATTCATTACTTGTCAACAAGTCCGAAGACTAAAAATGCAAGTTTACATCAATATAAAAAACATTCAAAAACATAAAGATAACCTAGTAAATGAGGACAAATATATAACAATGAATACATTTTTAAGTTAAAAACATTAAAGTAGTAACAACAAAAAAACAACAACAAAAAAAGATTTTTAAAAAAAAATACAAGATATGAAATATTGCTAGCAAAAATGAATAAATGTTGACATATAAACAAATAAAATGTATACAGATACTTGAATTCAATTAACTGTAACATTGGAAAAATTGTAATTAAGTATTGAGTATTGAATATTGAATATTGAGTATTAAAAAGTATTAAAAAGTATTAAATAAATTTCATGTCTCATTTGACCCTCAATTAAGTCATAATGTCATCATAATGGCCTCCAAACTCAAAATTTAAATTTGCATATTATGACGTTTGCATATTTTGGGGAAATTGATTGTATTTCTGTAAATATAGATTGTTTTTCTCCTAAATTTCGATATGTTCTAGCTGAGATAATTTTCTACAAATGCAGTGTCCACACCTTTTCCAGTTTGACAAAGGTATCATGGCGTATTTTTGCGAGGCATGTCAGTTTTTCACATTTTGCGTGTATTGTCTAAGGGACATGACTATTTCTCAAAACTGCATAGTACATTTCCGTCTTTCGCGAGCAACATCTCCGTTGTTTTAACTTTGTTTTCGGTGAGCTTCGGGTATGTTGTAGCTGAGACAATGAGCTATCTCCAATGTGCACTTCATTTTTCAATCATATTCCGGGATCATGCTCATATTTTACTTGCAAAGTGGGATTTTAGAATTCCATTTTCGTTTACGTGTAATCGCTATGGGAAATGTTTTGGTATATCGGTAACGCACTTGACTTCTATCCTCGAGGTCCCTGGTTCGAGTCTGGGTGTCTCCAACCATTTTTTTTCCCTTTAATTTTTTTTCTTTTTGACCTTTCACTGTACCATCTCCTTTGATTATTCGAACACGTAGAATCGCAAATAATGTAATAAACAACCCTATTTACTTTATTGTTTCCCTATTTTCACTTAATCCATTACTTTTTGCGTGTAATCCCTGTGGGAGATAATGTTTTCTCAAACCTGGATTCTACATTCCTGTCTTTTGCGAGCAATATCGCCGTTATTTCTGCTTGGATTTTGTTGATTTTTGAGTATGCTGTAGCTAAGACTATGTGCTATCTAAATCACCCCTCATTTTTTCAATAAGATGTCAGGATCCCGCTCATGATCATGATCTTCATCATGATCATCATGATCATCATTATCATAATGATGATAATCATTTATCAATTACATTTTCATTTCTTTGAATAAGATAAAATCGTCAAAATGTGTTCTTCATGATGTAGATTAGAGTCAGAGGTGTAACTGGTTACTGCGCAGGGTCAATGGTCATATTTTTTCAATCTATCTTCCCTAGATCCATAATGATCAAGGGGACACAATTTAAACTTGACATATGGATAGATCTTAATGGATGAAGCATTTCATAAAATAATATGATATCGTGTAATGCATTCTTTATTATGTAAACCATTAGCATACGTATCACCTAATTCGTCAAAGTGACGAAGTAAAGTCTAGTTATGAATTATTATTTTATGAGAAGAAAAACAAAACAATAACAATAACTGATTCAGTAATACAAAAAAATCACTTTTAAATGCAAAACATTGATAAATACATATATGTTTATAAAAAGAAACAATCAAAGTTGCATAAAGTCACACTACAAATTATATTTGATTGGGGTATAGCCTAGTAACTATTCAGAAAAAAGCTTTTAAGTCTCCTTTTAAAAATTTGTATCGAATTACACTGTATAATATCATTTGAAAGAGAATTCCACAGTTTTGGACCTGTAAAAACAAATGTCTTTTGTGCAAAAGATGTTCTATTTAATGGTAGATGAAAAGAGCTCGCCTGGCGAGTGAGGTAACTATGAATCAAATCATTTCTTACGAACATATCATTAAAAGGCAAAGGTAATTGTTTAATTCTAGCAACATTCCGGAATACCGATTAACAGAACAGTGGATTCTGAGTGGGGCATTCTACCGGCATTCCGAATGCCAGTTGAATAAATCCGTGGCGCCTAACCCTAACCATTGTTTGTGTGTAATTGGGTTTTTACAGATGTGATTTATTGTGATTTATTATGATTATTTATGTATGGGGACTGACAGTGAAAATTCAAGTCAATATAAATGGAAAACTGAATGAATGTAGAATACAAATATAAAGGAATAACATGTTTTTGTCCTTTCATTATTGCACAAAAGCAAATTAAAACCTCATTTTCTGCACCCCTCCAAATCACGGGTCAACAGGGGTCAAATTTGCCAAAGTTACAGTGACGACATAACATGTAGACCTGATCGGTTCACCTATAAAGCTGAGGCAATAAGCCATGCTTAATTAATGCAAATTTATTGTGAATATGCGTACTCCACATAAGATGTTAGGAAGTTTTTAGGTCGACAACTTCTAATTTTCAAAGCTTGAGATTTTGAGTTGACACTCTGACAGACACTAAAATGGCGTCATGGATAGTATTGTAATCTATGGCTTACAAGCTTTCTGTTCATGTATAATTCATCTATTTCATTTTTCACTTCGGATAGGGTCTTTAACATCACCAGAAACTAACAGCATTAGGCTCTGTTCAAGACTTTATGACATTGTATTTACACGACCCTTTATAGTCTGTGCCCACAGTAGTCTGGAACTGGCTGGTTTTATTTCCTACATGTATTTTGTGAGCCGTCCCCTACATGTACATGTACCTGCTGCTGGCCAAACATGGTGAGATCTCGATTTGTTACGCCCAGCCCAAATTTGCCGTGTGAATTTGGGAAAGGGTCATGTTCAACTAGCAGCAGATAGGGCAAGATTGTGGTTAGGGGTAATTCTCCTTAAATAAAATCGACCAGATTCCAGACTTTGCATGCAGACTAGGGCCCCTTAATAACACAAAGTTTATCAACTGATAGTACAATTAATTTTTCGCAAATGATTGCATTGAAAAATATATGCAATCGACTCAAGAAAATAAATTGTACGATCATTCGCTAAGCTTTCTGTCATGGGACCCGGCCTGGGACCCATTTCACAAAGCCTTTTTTCAATGACAAATGACAAAAATCAGTGACAAATCTGCTGATGACCAATCAGAAGTAAGGATTTCAGTAGCTTATAACAAAAACTGTCATTTGTCACTGGTGACAAGTTTTGTGAAACGCCCCCCTGGACTTATTGCCCAGGTATGAATTGCTACCGTTACTTCTTTTCTCACAGTGTGATAAAGTGCACAAAACATGGTTGGAAGCTGGATGCGAAAACGATGCGTTACACCAATCCACCTGACAGCTTCAGACAAGAACAGTTAGGTAAGTCAGCTTTGGTCACCTTCTCCAGTGGAGGTGTTGTGGTGTTGTGGTTCAGTCGCTTGACTTTCAAAAATCCAAGGGTTGAGGGTTCAAATCCGAGCCTGGCAAAAAAACGTCCTTTGGCAAGACATTGATCCATATTTGTCAATTCTTCACCCAAGTATGGAATGTGGAGGTGCCGTGGTATAGTGGTTCATTCGCTCGACTCTTAATCCAAGGGATGAGGGTTCAAATCCCATATTAATCCATAGTGCCACTTTCCACCCAGGTGTAAATCGGTACCCGGCAATTGCTAGGGCTTACCTGCTGGATAAAGAAAATTATATTTATCTTTCTCTCTCTCTCTCTCACACACACACACACACAGACACACACTCTCTATCTCTCCCTATTTCTATCTCTATCTCTCTCTCTTTCTATTTCTATTTCCCCTACTGAGGGACTGAAACGTGCAGCGTTTAGACCAGGCCTTTTCAACTAGTTTATTAGAAGTGCCAAAACGAAAAGAATTTGCAGTTGAAGTGCCACCCTGTAAGGTCGACTGTCACGGCTGCGAGGGAGCGTAGTGACCGAGCCGAAAATGGGTGGGGTCCAGGGGCGAAGCCCTAACAGGGGTAGCAGGGGGCTGAGCCCCCTGAAGCTGGTAGATTTAGGGCTTTCTAAAGGCCCAAATGGGGCATTTTTAGCACCATTTCATTCCACAATATAATCACTCATAATTTCATATTGATGTGAAAAAATTAGTAAAATTCCTGAGTACAATTACACTGGAGGTAAATTTATATGTAGTTCTTTTTTTGTGTGCAATAAACACGGGAAATGTCAAAATAAAGTGAAATTAAACAAACAAAAACGAGAGGTTTCCAGATATTGGCAATGTTGAAATATCTCATCGTAAGCTAATTGTTGTTCAGACCTTTTAGATTCGTATAAAATGGTAAAAAACGATAAATTCCCCCTTTCTTCCTGTTTGTTAATAAAACAGGCATTCTCTTTTTTTCTGTTTTTAGTTATGTTGTTGCAACAGTCGCGCGCCACTCCGACTAACCGCAAGCGCCACAAGTGGCGCGCGCGCCGCCAGTTGAGAAGGCCTGGTTTAGACTAATAAAAATGCAATAAGCTTCTCATTCGGTTGCTACACCCCCTTGCATAATATCCTTCAAAATGTACAAGTACATATTGTAGAAAATCTTGCATTTTGTCGTCCCACCCCCGTTCATGAAAAGAAATTGCCGCCCCTGCCTATGTTTAGTTGTAACTGCTGTTAAAATACCATAGCTTGTTTGGAAATATAAGTAAATAGGCAGTCCATATTAGATGACATTAAGCAAACACAAGATTAGAATCTCAAGATACCGGTAAGCTTCAAAACATGAAGTGGGCAGGAAGTGTTCGGAAGTGAGTAATAATTTTAAAGATAGGACTACAAATACATGTAGCCTCAAACTTTAGACCCATTTTTGTTTAAACTGTAATTACTTACATGTACTATAGATGGAATATGAGGGCATTATTTTTCAAGATCAATCCATTTTATGTGGCATTGCTACAATAATTGCAACCGATTTCCATACAGCAATATCATGCACAAGAAAGCATACAAATCTTGTTGTACCTTTCCACAACTCTACTCACATATCCGTTTTACCTTTGGCACAATTCAACCTTCTCTTTTAGAAAATAATTTCTATTCTATTTTGACTTTAGTATCTGAGGTAGATGATGAAGGGAGCATGTCGTTGATTGAACTCAAGCCCCCACAGCCGTGGGAGACAGACGCCAGAGAGAAAGTGCCCTTGGAGGTCGGAGAAGTCAAGGTGAGAACCTCTTTCCTTTCAGTATTTAAACATGTGGCTCACTTTTGGACCCACAGCATTCAATGAGGTGTACAAAGTACATACCGGTATATGTGATGTGCCATGGCAGATTCAGGTTTGTGCCCCTCTGCCCACCTCCCCCCCCCCCCCTTTTCTCTCTTTCTCTCTCTCTCTCTGTCTCTCTTTCTCTCTCTCTGTCTGTCTCTCTTTCTCTCTCGGTCTGTCTGTCTCTCTTTCTCTTTCGGTTTGTATGTCTCTGTCTCTCTCTCTCTCTCTGTCTCTCTCTGTCTCTCTCTCTTTCTCTTTTCAGTAACATGTGGCTCAACTCAATGAGGTGTACAAAGTACATACCGGTAAATGTACATGTATATGTTCATGCTATATGAAGTGGTAGAGTCGGATCCCCCCTCTTTCTTACAGTTACTCTGGGATAACCTTCTGAACCCTCCAACATTCCGTGAAGCATTCATGTATTTAGAAGTCCAGTGGCAGATTTAGGGAACCCAGGAGAGGGGGGGGGGGGGGGGGGGCTGGGTTGTAGCAAACTCCAATATGCAAGAACACATAAGGTGGTGTCACACAGAGGCAAAAAAATCAGGATTTTAGTTATCTCAGTGGACTTTAGTTATCCTCTTAATTGGCTGTCATCAATTATCCTTTCAAAAAATCCCTTCAAAAATCCTTTAACGAAGCAAGATAATTCTCCTTTGAAAGGATTTTTTAAGGGGTTTTTTATGGGATTTTTCTGTCTGACACCAGTGTTGAAAATAATTGCCTTTAAGGTCAGTGTAAGGTCAAAGTTTAACTTAATGATTGGCTGGCATATGATTTTTAATGCGCTATCACAACTTGCACGCAATTATATTAGCGGCCATTTAGCGGTATATTTATAGCCTGTCTGTCACCAGTCTGTAACCAACGTAAAATGAAAAAACTAGATTTCTAAAATCTGGTTTATTCAAGATGGGTCAGAATTTTTCTGTGTGACACCGCCTATAGAGTATTAAAACAGAAAAAATGAAATTTGCTTCCCACGTGAGACTCCATTGCATCAAATTTAAAAACTGAAATTAATATTATTTTTCTACGCAACACATGGGAGAGTAGTTTTTGCATATGTCACGATCCACTGACCGAATTGCGAATTTGATATTTGCATAGATTAGTGATCATTTATTTTAAACACTTTAAACCCTTCCACAGGGTTCTTTATTTTCAAAACAAATTTCATCATATACAGAACATCCATATATCATATACAAATAATTAAAGAAATAATTTCCATACATAATGGCTTAACACAGATAATAATCATCACGGCCAAAAACTTTTGTGGCAGATAAAAACAAACATTTATGACAACATTAGTACTTTAAATATATAATTTTTTTTTAAATACCAAACATAAACTAGACATGTAATACTTGTTTGGAACAAGTATAGGTGGGCTGGTCAACTAAAATTTGAGACAAAATAGAGCAAAAATAAGCGAGATACTGCTTAAAAATTCTATAAAAACAATATCATGTAGATACATGACTTCACCTTGTACAGGCATAACACCCGAATTATGAAATTTCTGACATGAGGCCATTAATCGAAATTTTCACTATGATGACGTCATCAAAATGAAAAATGGTGTCAACTGAGCTTGTAGAGAATTGTCTTAGCTACAACATATCGAAATTTGGAAGAAAATCGATCAATATTTACAGAGATACAATCAATTTCCCATAAATATGCTGACGTCATAATATGCAAATTCGTATTTTGAGTTCCAAGGTCATTATGATGATGTCACGATACACTTAATGGCCAAATGAGACATGGAATCATATTTCCGACTCATACTCTATCTAAATATGAAAAAAAATTGAAGTTCACGGTTCATTCCAAAGAGCTATAATGGATTTTGTATAGGCATGTTTTTTGCCTATATATGCTATGTAATAAAAGAGCTCGCACGCACGGACATCTATCTTGAATTGACGCTCATCTTGTTATTAATGGTCATAAAGAGATAAACATGGTATCAAATTCCTCGAAAAAATATGAGAAATATTATGAAAGAAAAAAAAATGGCGATTCTATGTTGTGTAATGGTGTAACGCGCGAAAACGCGCGCGCATGCTCGTACGCGCGATTTTTTATAAAATGCTTAAAATGACCTGAAACGTATGCAAAATGAATTTGAGACGATTTTGAGCATTTTAAATTTTTACGTGCGCATTGACGCGCGGACGTACGCGTACGTGCGCGTTTTTTTACCTGAAATTAACCGGACTGATATTGACCTTGATCATGATAAATATGAATGAGAAATTTCTTTTGGTTTTGAAGATATGATCATGAGTTGATTTTCAGAAAATTTCACAAAATGGCGCCTAGATGACGTCATTAGTCAAGGTCAAGGTTGAAAACCTTACCGTGTTTTGTCCATATGCCTATACATATGTGTGCCAAATATCAAAGCATTTGATTGAACCATTACAAAGTAATCTTGCTAACAAAAAAGTGGGTCAAAATAAGAAAAATAAATAAATAATAATAAAGGCAATTTTAACAAAAATATAAGGTGGTCTGTATTAGACACAGCCCACCTGAATACATAAACACTTTAAACTTGCTTATATTTTTGTCGGATTTATATGAAACTTTCGCTATTCTGGTTCTCTAATTTTTTTTCCTGTCGTACAAATCAACTCTTTGCAACGGTTGAATTGTCCTTTAACATACACATTCTGTGACCTTTGACCTGTTGTAGATAACCTACTTGACCCACGCATGCATGGAGCTGAACCTTGGGGGCACCGTCATGTTCACAGACCCCTGGCTGACCGGCCCAGCGTTTGCCAGGGGATGGTGGCTGATGCACGAACCGCCCGCTGACTGGCTGGATCGATTGGCCAAAGCAGACTTTATCTACATCAGCCATGTACATTCAGATCATTTAAGGTAGGTTAACCCCTAGACCAATGGATTCTTCTATTCCCATAGGCTTATACATTGGGGCCATGTAGTTCCAATGAGCAAGCGTTTTAATATCAAGGGTTATGAAGAATGTATGATGGGGAGTTGGGTGTCCGGATACTTAACAACACAAAGCCTTCTCTTTTACCTTCAGGTTGAATGAAAAATATCTATTATATAAAGTACTAATTATCTTGAATATGTGTCATTTATAACATTGTCCAACGTAAGTCTCAAATAGAAGATTCATGAAATACCCTTCGTAATCTTCTTCAAATTGCTGTTTTAAATCAACTGTCTGGATGCACACCCTGTCCAGGCACAAACATAGCGCCTGGGTAAATGGTACATTCCGGGGGGTGTTTCACTAAATCCTAAAATAGATTTCGAGTTAAGGACAAGTTTCATGCAATAAATGAAAATGATTTTAGCTTTAAAATCGATTTTAAGTTAGAGCGTGATCCATGAGAAGACTGTAGAGACATGGCAGGAGAGAACTTTGTATATGAATGGGACCGAAATGGGTGAACAGGTGCAATTCGTCCACCTTTAGCCCAATTGGGGAGCGATATCAATTGTTATTATCTATATAAGGCTTCCAAGTGGTACAATAAATCAGTGTATTCAATATCTTTAGTGCAGTACCCAGATGACTGACCAATATTATTTTTGTATTGCTCAGTCATCAGGGAACTTCAACTTACAATATCGATATCCGACTCATTTAATATTGTCATAGCTCGAGCATTAAATTCTTGTATCACACTCTATATAAATATTTATCAAAAATATCGTTCAATTAAACACAAAATTTTATTTTAGCAACAGAATTAATATTTTCAAAGAAAAACTGAATTTACTTACCTTTTAAGGACCTCTCTGGCAGTTCGCTTGCAGCAGTTTACCCCAAATTTACTAGCCGTGATTACAGAGTCCTCAAAATCGATTTTAGCTTGAAGGTATAGACCAGTTCTTGTCATGCGATTGCATTGTGAAAGAAATGTTGTGGAATCGATCAGAAAAGGTTGATCATCTGGCATATAAGTATTGGTGTGTACTGCAAGGTTCTGGAATCATCAAAATGATAAGAAATTTGGCCCAGTTATGGTAAAGTTACAAGCACTGTACACAGAAAGATGTATATGGGACTACCCTATATCTATCCAGTCCAGATAGATATAATAATTTATTCAATTCATTCAATTCTTAGGCGGTTTCCTGGCAAAATTTGTATCATTACTTACAGACGTATTAGTCAAAAAATGTTCTTTCACATGATTGGTAACAAGAGCTTCCATTTCATTTTTTGGGCTTGGGGCGTTTCCCACACTGGTCTTTACCTTTAAAATTGATTTGATGAAACAGTTCACATGTATAAGTTCTAAAGGGATCCGGTAAAATATGAATATGACTGACAAAGAAAGCGGACAAAATATACAGTTCCTCAGGTAGACAAAGGAACATCCCTTCACTGCTATTATGTAAAAATGTGTAGAACAGGTGAATATTGCATGAGGCGAAAGTCGAAATCAAGTTTAGCTGATGATACACCCCCAGATCGATAGCAAACATCCCAAGTCTGGATTCCATGTGGATGGATGAGCAATTGAATGAATGAATAAATGAATGAATAAATGAACGATGAGCGATTGAATGCACAAATAAGTGATTGAATGAATAAATGAATGAATGAACGATTAAATGAATGAGCGATTAAATGATTGAACGAATGAGCGATTGAATGAATGAACGAACGAGCGCTTGAATGAATGAACGAATGAGCGATTGAATGAATGAACCAATGAGCAATTGAATGAATGAATACATGTATGAGCAATTGAATGAATGAATGTATGAGCGATTGAATGAATGAATGTATGAGCAATTGAATGAATGAATTAATGAGCGGTTGAATGAATGAACGAATGAGCAATTGAATGAATGAATGAATGAGCGATTAAATGAATGAACGAATGAGCGTTTGAATAAATGAATGAATGAGTGATTGAATGAATGAATGAATAAATGAGTGATAAAATGAATGTATGAGCGATTGAATGAATGAATTAAGGAGCAATTGAATGAATGAATTAATGAGCGATTGAATGAATGAATGTATGAGCAATTGAATTAATGAATGAGCGATTGAATGAATGAATTAATAAGCGATTAAATGAATTAATGAGCGATTGAATGAAAATGTATGAGCGATTGAATGAATGAATGAATGAGCGAGCGATTGAATGAATGAATGTATGAGCAATTGAATGAATGAATGAGCGATTGAATGAATGAATTAATGAGCGATTGAATGAATGAATGTATGAGCAATTGAATGAATGAATGAGCGATTGAATGAATAAATGAATGAATGAGCGATTAAATGAATGAATGAGCGATTGAATGAATAAATGAATGAATCAGCGATTGAATGAAAATGTATGAGCGGTTGAATGAATGAATGAATGAGCGATTGAATAAATGAATAAATGAGCGAATGAATGAATGAGCGATTGAATGAATAAATGAATGAATGAGCGATTAAATGAATGAATGAGCGATTGAATGAATAAATGAATGAATCAGCGATTGAATGAAAATGTATGAGCGGTTGAATGAATGAATGAATGAGCGATTGAATAAATGAATGAGCGAATGAATGAATGAGCGATTGAAGGAATGAACGAATGAAAATGAATGAATGCATGAGCGATTGAATGAATGAATGAGCGATTGAAAATGAATGAATGAATGAGCGATTGAATGTATGAATGAGCGATTGAATGAATGAATGAATGAATGAGCGATTGAATGAACGAATGAGCGATTGAATGAACGAATGAGCGAATGAATGAACGAACGAATGAGCTGCCTTAATAGGACTTCTTCTCATTGTTTCCCTTGAACAATGTTTCAAGAGAGAGAAACATTAAGAAACAGTAAGAAACATTGTTCAAGGGTTATCAAGGTGATCACTTCTAAAGAGACATGTGTGCAAGGTCAAGCCTTAAGAGAAAGACTGCCCTGAGGAGACACCAAAAGTAGAATTTATACCCAGGATTACTGCAACAAATTTCTAACAGGGGAAACATCATTTCAAAGGAAACAAAAATGCGGTCATCTATGAAAGCAGGTGTTTTTTTAATAAAAACCCAATATTTATTTCAACACATTTCAATGAAAATATGTTGTTTCAAGGTGGGGAAAATGTGGTATTTCTGTACAGGTGGTTGCCAGAGCAGGTTTGGCTGTATTTCTTGTATCCTTTGATCTGTATTGAATTTAGTGACATTACTATAAATAATTCCACCCAATTCTAGATCTTCTTGCATTTGTTTATATACATGCCTTAAAGATACTCTGACAAATGGAAGTAGAAAACTAAATAAACAAACAAAGTAACATTGCACACGTGGGATTCTATTTGTAATAAAGAATTGACATGTCAACTTTTGCACTTTGCCCAAGATTATAAATGTTTTGATAACAGATCAGTGAGAAAATGCCAAATGTGGATTCATAGGATACTTTACGAGTAGGCCCATTTACATTGCAGGAAAAAAAAGGGTTTGAAAAACCGTAAAAAATCATTGGTGTTTGCTTATTTCATTTGTTTTTGTCGTTTTTTGGTGTGAATTGCGCGCATGTGCCATTCGTCGCTGCTCTGCATGCATTGGCATAAAAGCAAGGAGAGTCTTGTGACAAAAACCTGAATAGGTCCCCTGTGTCTTGAGCACAAGCATGTGCACTGCCAAAATGGGTTGAGTTTTGGCCGGTATTTCAAAAACCACACTCTCCTCTGAACAATGTTATAGAGTTCCTTAAAGCAAGGTGGGATAAAAAAATAAATAAATGCAAGGAAAACGTCCTTTTACGTTAATATCTTCTCAAGTTTTCTGCAGAAAGGGGCCTTAACGGGGCATGGCCCCCTTAACTCATATCCTGCCATGAGACTGCTAGCGCGCTATTGTTATAGTGCTCTGTGCATGCGAGCGAGCTACCGTTTGTTTGCTTTGTGCACGCTAGCACGCATATGTAATAACAGTTATTGTTCATGCCCATTGCACCGTGCTGAGTGCTCTTGCAGCGCTATTGAAAGTACTATCACGTGCATCAGATTATCGGCTTTGGATTACACGTCTTTGTATACAACAGTCAGATTGGATTTTCTCAAGTAATTCAGCGATATGTTTTTTGTAAAGATTTAAATAAAACGCACTTGAACCAACCTAAAAATTAACTTGGCACGCAGGAGATTTGTGTCTGGCACAATGGGGATTGGCACTGTGGCACTGGGTGCATTGTATGGGTGGCAGCTTAACCCATTGCTAACGGGAACCGGGTGACTCCTGTATTAAGTCTATGGGAATGAGAGAATTTAGGAGTCAACAGGTTAAGAGTTAACCCCAGACACCCATTTAATCTTCCTCCTTTTGGGGAATTTCCCTGTCTCATCCCTGGTGTTTATTGGTAGAATTTTACCTAACAACTTGTAATGAACCTCTGGAATGTGGGGGAAACGAAAACGCAGCTAATGTGTGTACACTTCCCACACTCTGTCCGTTTGTTTGACATCTTCTCCTTCTGATATGTTTGTTGGGAAACAGAAACTGACCTGAACAGAATGTTGAGTTATTCCTGATTTGTAAGGATTATATGAAATCCGGGTGTGTTGTATTTTTTTCGGATTTTTTTTTTTGTAGTTGCAGATGTGCCATGATTTATCTTCAAGCTTTATCAGGCATCAACTTAGTACATTTTAGTAAAGAGACACAGAAGCAGATGAAAGGAATATGCCATTTTTGCAATTTAATCCAATTTAATACATTTATCTATAACGGGTGAACAAAATCGTTTAAAGGGCTTGTCAGACCTTAAAGTTAATAATTAATAATAATAATAATAATAATAATAATAGTGGGTTCTTGTATAGCGCTCATGTCAGTCAGATTTGACCCTCCTGGCGCTCCCTATTATTACCCTGGCTTTAGCACGGCTGCCATACGGCGCTCTAGCATTTCAAGGAATAAATTCCTACCAGGTACCCATTTACTTCACCTGGGTGGAGTGTGGTAGATCAATGCCTTGCCAAAGGACATTAGTGCGGCGGCGGGACTCGAACCGCAGACCTTGCATTCCAAAATAACAATTAAATATTTGAGGGGGCCCTATGTCATTTAATTCAGGAAGATCTATCCTGCGTACACAACAATAGCCAATGCACTATCCACATATTTTTCAAAAATGGAGTGATTTATCGTTGTAGCTATTGTTCACGGCATTGTTTTCAGAAACCGTTTTAAGTATAAGTTCACCAACGTCCGATTACTGTACGTGTTAATATTAATTGACACCGTTACAATGGGATGTCGGTGAGCTTGTACTTATGACGGTTTTGTGACGGTTTTGTGAAACGATTCCCAGGCCTTTACCAGTTTTCATCCTCCTCATTAAACACAGCTACCCAACTCTGGAGCTCTTATCGGCAAGGAACCCAAACATTCCTATCTACGTAGGCGATACATCCATGCCTGTTTTCTGTAAACTCAAGCAGAGTGGAGTCAAACTCAACAACATCAACGTTCTCAAGTTTGGCAAGTGGCACGAGGTGAGAAAAAATACAGAGTAATTAAAGGTAAAGGCTAGTTCTGGTAATGCGATTGCATTGTGAAAGAAACGTTGTGGAATCGATCAGAAAAGGTTGATCATCTAGCATATAAGTACTGGTGTTTACTGCAAGATTCTGGAATCATCAAAATGATTAGAAATTTGGCCCAGTCTTTAATAGTAAAGTCACAAGCACTGGACACAGAAAGATGTATATGGGACTACGTGACACGTGCGCGATATCTATCCGGTCCAGATAGATATAATAATTTACCAAATATATCAATTTGTAGGCGGTTTCCTGGCAAAATTTGTATCATCACGTATTAGTCAAAACATATTCTTTCACATGGTTGGTAATAAGATCTTCCATTTCATTTTTTGAGAGGGGGGCATTTCCAAAACTGGTTTTTACCTTTAATGCCTTGTTTAGATATGATGCAGTAAACCGGTGCTCTGACTTTTACTCCAACTACAACTACTCTAGGCATATTAAATGTCATCGTAGGTATAAGGTTGCAATTTTGTTTAAGGTTGGATTTAGGGTTAGGGTTAGGTAGAGTGTTGGGGGTCTTGGGTTGAGGTGAAGAACTAGTCACGATTTTGTTGGTGTTGGTAATGAAACGTGGAGCAATTATCAAAGGAGTGTCGTACAACAGAGGAAAGCATACTGTGAAGATATAAACTTCGCATGCATGAAATTTTTAATAAGCAAATTGTTTTCCAAGTGGTTTTGTAGATTTGTGAAAGTTTCATGCTCAAAATATTTGAATTGCAAAAACTTAATTGTCATGAAATAAATAGCTCACGTTTATATAACTCAAAAGTTTCATGTTATGAAACTAGTTTTTATCAATAGCCCTTTGTGGATGTGACATGGTAAACTGCTTAAGGAAAATGCTTTTCTATGTAATATATAACCTGTCGAAGCCTAGTGGCTATCACAAATCGTCATACTATATAGAGTGGTGAAGTGTGACGTCATCAAAAATCTATTTTTAGAATTTCTCAATTTTTTCTTCATATTCCGAAAGAACATCAAAAATAATGTCCAAATGTCGAGAACCAATTGAATATGTTAAGTATTGGCTGAGATATGACCATCTGAATGAATATATGTCCTATGGGAACTCAGTGTTATATGCTCTGGCTCCTAACCTTTAGGAGCCAGAGCATATAACACTGAGTTCCTATGGGGAGTATATTTATTCAGATGGTCATATCTCAGCCAATACTTAACATATTCAATTGATTTTCGACATTTGGTCATTATTTTTGATGTTCTTTCGGAATATGAAGAAAAAATTGAGAAATTCTAAAAATAGATTTTTATGACGTCACAGCTTCGGTACTATAGCCTTGCCCCCACGTATAAACACCTTTAACATGTAAACACCATGAACATATATACATAAAAATACCATTAAACATATAAGCACAATAATATTCGCTCAAACCTTTATAATCAATCATGTCCAATATCTGTAAATATGTCAGTAAAATGTGATATTTGTATTCGGCCACCTGGTTGCATAGAAGTGTTGATTGGAGCAGGATTCATACCAGAAACATCTGACCAAATATAATTTCATTTGTTTGGAGAAGGCGGGGCATATATTCTTGTCGTTTTACACAGAGTTAACCCCCTTCCTCCCCCCCCCCCCCCCCCCCCCCTTCCCCAGCTCAATAAAGATAATATGAGTGATGGAATTACAGGCTGAAAGGCACTACCCAATACAGTCAAACATGCCTTAGTGACCACCTGTCTACAAAGACCATATTTTTTGTTTCCCTTGAAAACGGTTTCCCATTGAAACATGTACTATTAAAGGAACCTGTCTACAAAAACCAGATTTTGTGTTTCCCTTGGGCGGTCGCTATAAACAGGTTTGACTGTACCAGAGCAAACATACAAAATGAAAAGAAGAGATAAATAAGCCTGACAAATGTGTCCCCCCATATTGTGATAGAAGTGATTTGTTTAAATAAAAAAGCTCTAGCTTATTTATGCCAGGAAATGATAGTAACACAATCTTGGCAGGTTGCCAAATGTTTAATTGAATGTGTTTAATTGAATACTTGGACAATATAAACATATTTTCCCCTCCCTACTCCAAAAGTTTCAACTAAACAAAGAGGAAGAAAATGTGAAATTGGAGTGAGTAAATAGTGAGTAACATTAATTTTGTAAATCTGTTGTTGTTGTTGTTGTTTGGTATTATCAGCGTTTCATTCTTTTTTAGAATATTAACGCCCTTCACTCTTATTAAATTTTTTTGTTTTGTTTACTGTTTGGAAATTTGTATTCTTCGAAAATCATAGTTTTTTTATAATATGATCTCAGATCCACTGGTCCATGAAAGTTCATACTGTACACGTTTTATTTTGTTCTACTCTCCTACCAAATTGCATTTATTTATTTTTTAATTGACCACTTTCGTCAATGTCTTGTTCATGTACGTGTCCTGCATTCTTCTTCCTTTTCTTTGTTCTTCCTATCTAGGTCCTTTCCTCTTGCCTGATTCCTTTCAAATTTTGTAGGCGCCATTTTGTCCGTTTCTGGTCCGTTTTAAGGCCCTTCTTACTTCCCATCTCCACTATCTTACATCCTACAGACTTCTCACAAATTCCTCTCCATAGTCTAAGAGATGCTCTTTCATCTGTTAGTGCCACAGCTGGCGTCATGACATGTTCCTTGTTCACCATTATCCTATTTGTTTTGCACGCAGTGCTTGCGAGCACTTTCTAGGTCTCTTCCCTTATCCAAATTCCTTTCAAAGGTGTAGTCTCTAGCATCCCATCAAGGTCACTGAAATCTATGTTCTCCGGAATCACTCATGCGTGACTGCCCATGCGCCATTTTGTACGATTTGTGCTGTTCTAGAGGCCTTTCTTTCGCCCTACCTATCTCCACTATCACAGAAGCTACAGATTTCTTACAAATTGCTCTGGATAGTCCGAGAGAAGCTCTTTTGTTCGACACATCGAAACACAGGCTTTATTGAAAGTATATCGTTGTAACACAAATGCATGTCTAGTCCTTCTTCTTTGCATTGGCGACTTGCGTCAATGTCTTGTTCGCATTCGTTCCGAATTCTTCTTCTTCCTCAAAATCCCATTCATTTTACACTTTAGTGCTTGTGATCCCTATTTACATGTGTAGGTCGCTTCCTCAAATTTTGTATTTGTAATCTCTGATATCCAATCTAGAACACCTGCTTCTTCGTTTTCCAAAATCACCTACACAACCATCAAGACGCCATTTTGTCGGTTTCTGGTCCGTTTATTAAAGGCATAAATTAGTATTGTCCTTGAAGTTTGAAGTTTGAAGTTTATTTTTTCCACAGGAGGAGAAGAAGAACAAGCGAAGAAAGAAGAATTTAACTTTGATTTTCACAGATAGAACATACTGTACATGACATATTCAGGATTCCTGCAAATTTCTAACAAATTGCTCTGGATTGTTCGAGAGAGGCTCTTTCGTTTGACACTAATAGAGACACGTACATGTATGGGCGTCAATGCATGCACATCATTCTAGTTTTATTTGAATGTAGTTTAATAACCAAGTTTTATGTTACAATTTTCTTTGAATACTATATAACGGCACAGGTACGGAGGAAGTCTCTCTCTATCTAGCTACTTAAAGGCCAAGTCCACTCCAAAAATAACTTAGTTTCAATAGAAGCAAAAAAATAAGACAAACCGATCAAAAAAAAGTTTGGAGTGGACTTGTACTTTAATATAGACCTGTGCAGAAGCAGTGAATTATCTTTCATATCACCTGTCTGTTCAAGGCCAAAATTCAATCAAGCATTACTTTGTGTACCAAAAACCATTACTATATTCTATGGGGGCAGATCTTTTGCAGTTGCGGGACGAAACCTTTGGGAACAATCTTCCCAAATTCATACGACAGGCACCCACTTCTACAACATTCAAATCTTTACTAAAAACGCACCTCTTTGGCCTCAATTAATTACCTTCAACTATTCTTACTTACGTTATTTGTTTTGACCATGTTAGCTATCTTTTTATTATGTTTAATGTTAAGTTAGTCATTTTAGTAGTTATAAGATTTGTATTTTTCTCGGTGTTGATTCCTTTTATGTGATTATATTTCTCGTCATTCATGCTTGTACAGCGCATAGAGAAACATTTGTTTATTATGTGCTTTATAAATATTATATTATTATTATTATTACTATGTTAAGATTGAAGGTTTATTTTTAATTTGTGTTACATACAATAGATACACTCTACATGTACAAAACATGGTATCTGTTATCATGTGTTTTTGTTATGACTGGCTAACTGAATTTCCTTCCTTTGTTGCGATAGATCAACAAGGATACTCGTTTCATGATCATGATGGACGGCGTTCATCCCGATATGGATACCTGCATCCTGATAGACTACAAAGGTAAACAACCTTCCTTCCTGTCTTCCTCTTTGTCTTCTTCTTCTTTTTTGCATTGAAGTCTTCCTTCAATGCCTTGTTTTTGTTCGTGTTCTTAATTCTTATTCTTCATTATCTTATTTTTCTAAATATATACATGGCCATGGTTAGGCCGTGCGATCGCCTGTTAACCCTATTTAGCCCGGGCTATTTTGAAACTGCATAGCCCGGGGGGGGGGGGCTTCTCAGGCCCCCCCCCCCTATGATCTCGGCCGTGAAACGACCGATCGCCGCGAAAATTTGCATACATGTCAAGTGAAGTGTATAGATTACTATGGTAATTTCAATTTTTTGAAAAATTCACTCATTTGCATATTTATGGTAATTTATGCAAATAAGGTCATCAAATTCACATTTTTGCCCATAAATCAGACATTATTCATATTTAAGCATTCTTTCTCACTACATATATTTGTTAGACCATTTGGAATAATAATACAACACAAAAACTTGAAAAACCAGGGTTATTCTTTATGTTATCTATTGTTTTGATAATTTCTTATGTATTTCTTTGTTTTTTTAACTCATGTATTTTTATTGTTTTTGTTGTTTTATTTAATTTCCAACTATAATTCAACTATTTTGACCCCAAAATAAACACCTTAACTATAAACAAGACCAAATAACCAATGTTTTATCTCTTTATTTGAAAAAATGAGATTTCCATATGTTTTGTACACAAATCACAAAAATGAGCGATTTTCGGGCTGACATGCAAAGACAAAAGGTCATGTGACTTTGTAATGGTAGGTCCGATTTTCGAAAAATTTCTTTCAAAAGATGCGCAAGACTCGAAAGAAAAAAGTCACAAAATTTCAGTGCAAGATTTTCTTGCGTTAAAAAATTATCGCGAAAAATGTCGAGGGGGGGGCTTCTCAAGCCCCCCCCCCCCCCGGGCTAAATAGGGTTAAGGGTACAGGTTCCTTCTTTTTTGCATTGAAGTCTTCCGTCAATAGCTTGTTATGTGTTCTTAATTCTTATTCTTCTTAATCTTATTTTTCAAAATATATACATGGCCATGGTAATGCCGTGCGATCGCCTGCTAAGGATACAGGTTCCTTCTTTTTTGCATTGAAGTCTTCCGTCAATGGCTTGTTTTTGTTTGTTTACCTAATTCTTATTCTTCATAATATTATTTTTCTAAATATATACATGGCCATGGTAAGGCCGTGCGATTGCTTGTTAAGGGTACAGGTTTCTTATTTTCCATTGTGGGCAGGTATGATTTCGTAATGTAACCAAATGTAATGCATGTGTCTTTGAGAAGTGCCTTGATGCGAATTTATTTTATTCAACTGTTACAAGTAATTGCATCTGAGTATTTCTACACTGTGTATATCAAACCCACAGGCCATCTCATCCTGAACACAGTGGACTGTACCAATCCTAACGGGGGTCGCTTACCCATTGATGTTGACATCATGCTAAGTGACTTTGCCGGGGGTGCGTCGGGCTTCCCGATGAACTTCTTTGGTGGGAAGTACACAGGTAAGTGAAGGGTAGCTCACCAGGGGCGTGTTTCACAAAAATCCTAAGTCGAACTTAACTCTAAGTATAGATTATAGAGAGCCATCTGTAGCCTTGATTCAAAAGTGAAAATTCAATATTTTAATTTTTTTATCAATTCCACATCTAGAACATGAAATCTCCTTGATAATAGAAAATGTGAATGATTTTAATCAAAATGTTGTGCTTTTAAAAAAAACTTTTACAAAATATTTTCATATATATGCTAATAGCTTTCCATAATTATTAAGTCCAACTTAGGAACTTTTTGAAACACCCCCCATGCTTTTTTTTACTCCAATCCGTTTACACAGAGTTAGCATCCTTGTGGCTCCAAACAGAAAATGCAGTTTGGGTTAGCGTTGAAATGGGATTTTAGGTTAAGTTTAGGTTTAGGATTATGGTAGGTGTACGTAAGAAGTGTTTGGTCGTAAGTTCAAGTTGAAAATTCATGAGTGCACAAAGTTGATCGTGGAGCAATGATTAGTAGAGCATCTATGAGTGATGTTTGGCTTGAAGGGGACCAATCACCAAAAGGAAGAAAAATAATGTATGTATGTTACATCAGGAGGTGTGAGATCACATCCCCAAAATAAGATCATAGTTTAATGAAGGTCAAGATGGTTGTTTCTGTATTGCTGTTTGTTGTTTGTTGTAGTTGTTATTGTTGCTTTTTGTTTTGTTTTTTCCTCAAATGAATGTACTTGGCTCATTTCATTTCAGGTGTACATGATCTGGATATTCATATACAGTAAGAGTTACTAGCAAGAGAACAATCGACCAGTATTGATATTTGAATTTATTTGATTGCATACATGTACATTATTGCATATTTGATAACATACATGTATTTGATTGCATATTTCCAGTTCTTCATTATTAGGATTATTCTGATCACAGTTGAGTGGAAGGAGCAGTTTTTCAAGACAGAACATAGCAAGCCACTGTACTACAAGACCCAGGTTGTCAGCATGTTTACCCACCCATATTGATATTTGAATTGAATTGATTGCATACTTGATTGCATATTTGATTGCATACATGTATTTGATTGCATATTACCTTATCTCTATCATTGGATTATTCTGATCACAGAGGAGTGGAAGGGACAGTTTATCAAGCGAGAACGTAACAAGCTACTGTACTACAAGACCCAGGTTGTCAGGGATGTTAACCCAACCATTATGATATTTGAAGATATTTTGATTGCATATATGACTGCATATTTGATTGCATATTTCCTTATCTCTATCATTGGATTATTCTGATCACAGAGGAGTGGAAGGGACAGTTTATCAAGCGAGAACGTAACAAGCTACTGTACTACAAGACCCAGGTTGTCAGGGATGTTAACCCGACTGTCTTCTGCCCCTTCGCTGGCTACTTTGTTGAAGCACATCCATCAGACGGGTAAAAAATTAAGAAGCTATTTAGAGAATTTTTATGCCTCCGTTACGAAGTAGCCGGGGGTCATGAGGTCAAAGGTCACAGTGCTCATTATGTATGCAAAAATAGCTTGTGATCGCGTTATCTCAAGAACGATTGATGGATTCCTGCCAAACTTACATCATGTATGTATCTTGCAGAGCTAATGAATTGGATTAGATTTGGGGGTCACAAGGTCAAATGTCACAGTGCTCATTATGTGTGCAAAAATAGCTTGTGATCGTGTTATCTCAAGAACCAATTGATGGATTCCTGCCAAACTTAGGTCAAGCATGTATCTTGCAGAGCCAATAAATTGGTTAGATTTTGGGTCATGAGGTCAAAGTTCAAAGGTCACAGGGCTCATTCACATCATTAGAACCGATGGACACATTACCATCAAACACAGGACATGTATGTACCTTGTCGAGCCAATGAATTGATTAGATTTTGGGGTCATGAGATCAAAGGTCATGGGGCTCATTATATATGCAAAAATAGCTTGTAATGATGATATTCTGAGAACCTGTTAATAGATTACAATTAAACTTGAATTTGACAAATTGCTTCTCTTTTGGTTTTTAAAATCGCTCTAGGGCGGAGGCTTTTATTGTTTTTCTTCTTCTGTTTTTGAAGGGAAGTAGGTGGGTACCTGGTACGAATTATTTCTTGAATGCACCGAGTGCTATGGTTGTTGTAGCTAAAACTGGATTAGTAATATCCAAAGAGACATTATATCATCATGTATGTACTTTACAAGAACATACAGCCATTATTATTGTCTCATGACTATATAGATACATCCGAGAGACGAACACCAAGAACGATGCGGCCTCTCTCAATGCTCTGATCAACAAGTATTCCCCGGAGATCAAGACTTGGACCCCGAGACCTGGAGCCACGCTCGATTTACAGAAAGCTATCCAGGGAGACAGGTAAACAACCTATTTTTTTAACTTGGTGTATGCACAGATGAGGGGCTTGTTTTTGTTGGACTTTCCGTCCGTGGTTGTGCTGGAGGTAATATGTTTTGGGGTTGTCCGTCCGTCTGTCCCGCTACTCGTTACCGTCATAGCCTGTGAGAAATGTGAAAACCAACTAATGGATATTAAACAATTAAACAAACTTGGAGGAGTATGTATGAGCATGCAAGGATAAACTGAGTAGATTTAAGGTGAAGGAGGTCAAAGGTCAAAGATCACAGGGTCCTAAAAGTGTTTTAAGATGCCAGGAAATACATTGTTACTGCAATAATTTGAAAAGCATTACTCTAAAGCAATTAAAAGCAAACCTGGAAGAAGTATGCATGATTATGCAAGGATGAATTGATTATATTTTGGGTAGAAGAGGTCAAAGGTCACAGGGTCGTTAACAAAAACTGGGCTCAAGTATGTTAGAATATTAAAAGATTAAGTTCAAACAGTTTAGGTTAGTGGGGTCAGATGTTAAAGGTCACATAATAATTTACCAATGAACAGACTTGTTGGCATAGTCATATTCAGAGTTGCCAACCAGTATGATTTCATCGTATTTTGTACAATTTTTAGAAATAAAGTTTGACAGTACGAATTTTCCTCAATAAAATATGATTTTCAAAAAAAAAAAAAAAATGCTAAAAATTGGAATGTGCTTGTGGATTTTTGTGTGTGTGCCATTCCCCCATGTACAGTATCCTACAAGCATCTCTTACGGATGTTTAGTGGTTCACCGAACACACCAGTCATGATGAAATCATGCATATTCAACCAATGGTCTATAAAACATACACTTACATGCAGCTTATTGGTTCATTGAACTATCATTCATGACAAACTCTTGCATATTCAACAAACAAAAAAACAAAACAAAAATTTTTTTTTTTTATTTATATGTCAACAAAATGTTTGTAAAACGGACTCAAGCACAATTCTTCGAAATGTCGACGAACACAGTCTAACAAAAGGAAAATACTAACCAATCAAAAATAGAATTTTTATTTTGAAAATAGGATATTTTGGGGAAAAGAATAGAATGTTTGTTCAGTTGAGGTTGGGAGCTCTGCACATTCGAGACGGAATTCTTATTCATCCGGTTTTTGCAGATATTTTGTGTTTATTTTTGACTGTCAAGAGACCTACAGGTGTAATCAATTTTTTTAAATAAATTTTGTTGAAAAAATCAAAGTGGGAAATATGAGCCTGAAACATGTCTAATCTGTAGGTGTAATTGATTTTTGTAAATAAAGTTTGTTGAAGAAAAAAAAATCGAAGTGGAAAATATGAGCCTCAAACATGTCTAATGCATCTTTTTAAAAATATTATTGATCAATATAAGAAAATTGACATGTGTCTCGGACATGTTTTGATACCCATGCAAATATATATCGCCTCTGAAACCTTTTTTGTGATCTGCTCAAATGTGATACTGTAGTCTCTGTTATCAGACCTGTTCTTACGTTGCAATGCATTATCATCATTTGAACTACCCACTATTCTATTTCGATCTTATTTAAACTCCTTTGTTGATTTATAATGGACATGTGGAATGCAAGAACAGTATGGAGCATACTTAAAAAGCAAAAGCTGAGATATTTTTAGATGATGAAAAAAGATGATGAAGTCAGACATTGACTTGAAGGGAGGCGAGTTGGCTCAGTCGGTAAAGCGTCCGTCTGTCGAACCAAAGATCCCGGGTTCGCGAAACTCCCACCCAGGCGGATGACTAAAGCCTGCGTTGTGTGCTAACGTGCCCCCTTCCCTTGTTCATAGACGCAGGTTATGTCAAGTGGAAAACACTCCGTCCCTCGGATAGGATGTTAAATGGAGGCCCCGTGTAGAGAAGAATCACTACCTTTGCACGTTAAGAACCCACTGCACTATTCGTATAAGAGTAGGGGGAAACCCCGGTGTTAGTGGTCCACCTGCACACACCCCCCCCCCCCCCCCCCCCCTCAGTATAGTATGATAATACTCTGTAAAGAGGTCTATACTCAAAAGGAAGAAGAAGGAAACGCATGATTGTGAAGAAAAATGCAGGTGGCTTTTGATGTGTAAGTGGCATCATGAACATACGTTCAAGCTTGCGTATTGACTTTAGATCTTTTCAATTGCCAAATACATGTACATTACTCAAATCACTTATTTGCAGTCTAGCTATTGTTCACAAATATGCTGATGTTATTTATGGTCTTTTGTGAGTACACATCTGGAAGCCCATTTGCAAATTTAAAGAAAGACTTGAGTTCTGGTTAAAATGAAACATCATCTTTGAAAGAATCATTCCAACAAAATATCGTAGTACAAATGTCATCTGAAAAGGATTGCTCTTCAAGTAATATAATTGTATTCGTTGACTTCACATGTTTTTATAAAAGTGGTGAATAAAGTCAATTCAAGTCAGGTCAAATGTTCTCTTATTTTGCTAGGTATGATAATGATCATGCACTTTGTTTTATGAAAAAAGAGAGAATAGGTAAAATATTCTCTCCTAAACAAATTTTCCCTTTCTTTATTCTCTCTCTTAAATAATATCTCCCTTACTGTATTTTCTCTCCAAAATGATTTTTTTTTTTCCTGTCTTAAATAATATCTCCCTTTCTCTATTTTTTATCCCCTAAATAATGTTCCCCTTCTTTATTTTCTCTCTTTAACAATGTTTCCTTTCTTTAATTTCTCTCCAAAATATTGTTTTCCATTCTTTATATTCTCTCCTATAATATCTCCCTTTCTCTATTTTCATCTCCTAAATAATTTTTCCCTTTCTTTAATTTTCTCTCCAAAATAATGTTCCCCTCCAATATAATGTTTCCCTTTCTTTATTCTCTCTCTCTTTAATGATATATACCCCTTTTATATTTTCTCTCCAAAATAATTTTTCCCTCTCTTTATTCTCTCTCTTAAAGATGAAGTTGAGTTCTGGCCATGCGATTGCATTGTGAAAGAAACGGTGTGGAACCGACCAGAAAAGGTTGATCATCTAGCATATAAGAATTTGTGTTTATTGCAAGGTTCTGGAATCATCAAAATGATAAGAACTGTGGCCAATTCTTGATAAAGTTATAAACACTTGCACAGAAAGATGTATATGGGACTACACGAACACGTGGCGTAAAAAGCCGGCCCCCCCCCCCCCCCCCCGATTTTTACGATGTTACATGCATATTTAGAATATGAAGGCATTTGAAGAGCCATGCTTTTCAGGGAACATGTCTTAACTGATGTTCTTCCACACTTGCATAATAAGAATGAGTAATTCTCACAAATTATTTTTCACCTCTTCCCAGAACTCAACCTTCTCTTTAAATAATATCTCCCTTTCTCTATTTTCTCTCCTAAATGATGTTTCCTTTCTTTATTCTCTCTCTTTAAAAATAGTTCCCTTTCTCTATTTTTCCTCTCATTAATCTCTTTCTTGAATAGTATCTCCCTCTCTATTTTCTCTCCAAAATATTTTTCCCTCTCTTTATTCTCTCTCATAAATAATATCTCCTTTTCTTTTTTTGGTCTCCTAAATGATGTTTCCCTTTCTTTATTCTTTCTCTCAAATAATAGTTCCCTTTCTTTATTTTCTTTATGAAGCATAAAACGCAGGTGGCATTTAATGTGTAAGTGGCATCATGATCATGCGTTCAAGCGTGGATATCAACCTTTTATCTTTTCAATTGCCAAATACATTACTCAAACCACTTATTTGCAGTCTAACTATTGTTCACAAATGTGCTTATGTCAAATATGGTCTATTGTGTACACATCTGGAAGCCCATTTGCAAATTTAAAGAAAGACTTGAGTTCTGGTTAAAATAAAAAATCATCTGTGAGGCTTGTCGTTCTTTTAAAGGGATCCGGTAACTTTGTTTCAGATTTTTCTGAAACAAAATCTTGGATTTAGCTCTTGCTGCAATGATAATTATAAACCTTTAGGTCAGTCAGGAACCCCATGACTTTTACAAGCTGATCGCCTGTCTGATTTAATATCAAGATATTTATGATTGGAAATCAAAATTCAATTTTTTTTTTTCCTTTCTCCTAAAGGGTTTTATAACACTACTGTCTATTGAGGAACATGAGTATGGTAAAACCGGTCACTCAGAGTTTTTTTACTTTTCTGAGGCACTTTATGAAGCACAATTTTTGTAGGGCTTCAATATTACACCGTATCACAGACACTGATAATACGTAGGGTCATGCATCTCAGATTTAAAATTGTTAAATGATGCCTTTAAGTTAAATGTCCTCTTATTTTGCTGGGTATGATAACGGTCATGCACTTTGTTTCATAAAAAAAAGAGAGAACAGGTAAGATATACATGCTTTGAGTTGAATTTGGAAAGGCTGATTATTTGGTTATGGTCAGATGTTTCTGTCATTAAAATACATGTACCAGTACATGTACTAAAATCCTGCTCAAAATCAGATATAGTATAACAGAAAATACTGCACACAGATATGTATGTCAGGTATGTACATGTATGTACTGTATGTGTGTACTACAGACACATGTAGAATTTCAAATTTGGTCCAAATTTTGAACTCATTTCTAGATTTGGTGGAAATGGATGAAGGCATGTATAGTGCAACCTTTTATTGTGACATTATGAATCCTAGACAACATCTCTGTTTGAAAATATGATAGAAGGATAACAATTACAAACAATAACATAAGGAAAGACAGTAAGAGAAATTGATACAGAATAGATGATGGAAAGATAGATGAGAAGATGAAAGATGGAAAGCCAAAGAAAAACATAAGAAAAACAGAGAGAGAACATGATAAAAGGAAAACAAAGAATAACACGAAGAAAGATAGAAAAAAATGACAGAATATTAAAGCGAAGAATAACATAAGAAGTGAAAAAAGGAGAAATTGAATAAGCACAGGGCCATTAGGTCATCAGGTAGAGAACGGGCATCGACTACAAACGAAAAGGGTTATACACTGTAAAGTAGTGAACAAGACA